AGAAACGTTGTCAATAGAAAATAAAACATTTGTATTTAGTAAAAAGGAATTAATTAAAAAAGACAAGAGACCGTTCAGCTTCATGCAGTGATCTTCTTTAGTCTTTTTTTAATTTATCCCTTTTTGCTAAATATAAATGTCTATTTTTTATGACGTTTTCGCAAGTAGGTGTATATCACATTCTCTCCTTTATCTCTCCAAGGGCTGCAATCACCGTACTCAATTATAAAAGGGAACAGCGGGTCCTCATCGTGAAAATGATGCTAACAGGAGCCTACATGTATATGGGATGATCGACGTGCTTGTGAACCCTACAAGGAACTAATCAATAACCTATAATTTCATTTGAACTGTACATGTGACGTGGATGTCTCAAATGAGTTTATGACGACATAGTAGTGTTTTTGTTGATATACACCACTGACTATGACCGTCCTAAGGGACCACCAGCATTCAATGCGGTCGTGTTTTATATTTTTCATATATGAAAAATCAGGTGACTTCCAATATCCATTCGCAGTCCGTTTCCATACATCAGTTTAAAGGTCGAATCTTACAATATTTCCATTCATATAGTGTAAAGGGATAATAAAGAGGCAAAGAGTAAATTTTTGCTTAAATTACGATTATTTTTATTTTCAATGAGCAAAAGCTCGAAAGGGATGCTGGTGGACCATGTCACTTTAAGCTCAAAAAGACACCACAAAACTTAGCTTGTGGGAATTGACATCATTATCATCTAAACACTGATTTCAAATCCTAAAAGGGATGACGAGGACCGCCGACCACTTTTAAAAGGGAGTCCCATCCTGGTCAAGCCCAATTGTGTGACATCAAACAGGTTTTATTTTCCCCTTTAAAGTTCAACTGAACCCTTTTAGAAAATCATTTTTTTTAAAGTCAAATATGATGCTTAATCATTGTCTTGAAGAAAAAAAAGTTGTTTGGATTCTATTTCTGAGTTAAAGACATTTGAAAATGCTAATGAAGTGACGTCAATCAAGGAATTGGGCTGGAGGTTTTTCATTATTTGCGATATCTTGGTCAATGGTCAATGGTCAAATCATCAATAATAGTGATATTCAAGAACTGGAAATGTCATCTCCGATATAAAAAAAGAGTAAAATGTATTTTTTCGTAGTTTTGCATATTAAATCATTCCTTAGTAGACGTCACTTAATTTGCATTCCGATTTTCAAATATTTCTAAAACAGAATATATAAATTTGAATGTTTTTTCCCTTTGCAGAAGTGCTTTAGCAGCATGTTCTCTTTCGAATGAAATGACTTTCTAGAAGGATTCAATTGCACTTTAATCCACTTTTATGAACTACAAGGAAACAAAATCCTCAAACAAGACTCACCTCATAACTAAACTTGGCRGCTGCTTCAGTGAATCTCTTTCTTTCTTCATCAAAGTGATTTTTTTGCTCAGTGAACATAATCTTTTCTTGTTTWAGTCTTTCCCAGTCTTCGCACATCCTTGAGTCACTCTAGTAAACAACAGCTAATACTCTAACTATGTAATATCATTTTTATTAAATAAAGCTTATCAAGAAACATTTGATTAAAATTATAGGAGCACCATGAATGCTTTGTGGGACTTGCCATTATTGTGTTTTACAACTCACAAAGGAAAGCAACTCAAGTTTCAACGCTTGTAAGGCTAAACCAGCCAATCAAAGACAAGCACTTTAATTTCAAAACAAAAACCCTTGGTCACAAAGCATCCTGGGTAATACTGGTCCTTTAAACAATTTTAACCATCCCTTCATGACCCTCACTTACCAGAAAAGAGTTGTCTTTCTGTCCACTGTCATTTTCTTTTTCCTGCATGGACTGAAAGATATAGCCATAGTTAGAAAATCCATCAAAGTCTGTACTATTGCAAACTATTGAAGATGAAAATATTCAATAACATACACAAGTAACTATTCACATTATGTTCAGTTGAAGTAAATATTGTTTTTTTGCATAACATGGAATATTTGTAAACAAAACAAGTTTAAAATGATGTTTGACAATAATGTTCCTGAATAATTGTCTCTTCTTTGCTGGTGCAATTAAAGTAAAAACATTTTTTTGTTGTCATTTTGTTTGTGTACATTTTCTTGTCTTGAGTAAATCACATCTTTATTTAGGCACTGCCAGATACTACAACATGATAATACTGCTACACAGATCAGTTTAATTTTAATACTTTCTGTTGTTGCATATTTTTCACCTCAATTCCAAAACATCCAAAATCTTGCTGAAAAGGATCCATGTTACATACAATCGACTTGTTGTGCAACACTGTTAGTACCCATGCATCACAACACAAGACTTGCATTATTGTGTCTAATAATGATATCCAATAACATTCAATCTCAAAATAAAACAAGGGTTTACCTCTATCAAGGCTTCTTGYTGCTGTACAATGTGTCTGTAGTTTTCAAGTTGCTTTCTTAGTTTGTCAAGTTCTTCTTTCAACTGTGTTTTYTCCTGACTGTCTTCTGGTGAGCTTGATGATGATCCTTTATTTGCCTGCTCTAAACGTGACTTGAGAACTCGCCATTTRTCACGCATACTTTTTTCTATTCCTAAAGAGCAATATGAAATATAGCATTAATAATACTGCACAAAAGCATAGAGATTACTCATAATTGCATATTATTCAGATACAACAACCTAGTAGACACATTTGACTTCATTTACCCAGCAAGCTTTTGMGCAAAGCAGGCATCTTCAGGGTGACAATGTTACAATAACAAGAAAACTTATTCATCAAAACAAAGATAAAACAATGTGTGATATGATGTATGTTTATAATTATGAGATACCGGTAGTCTGAATTATCCAACACTACTGAGATTGCTTTTAATATATTGCAGTAATACAGCACCAATCAAAACCTACCTTTCCATAGCTACGTACAACAGCACTGTTTTTAATATATAATTTATCATGTTCACATGATAGAATTATGGTCTGAACTGAGTTTAATAAATGTGTAAAGGAGTTATGATTTTTGCAGTGAAACTGACAGCGATAGATTGTTGGCTTTATAGCTCAGTAAGTGGAGGGTTTGATTCTAGTTGAAGTCCATAAATTTKTCACTTTTTAGTTAATAAATATGTAATTACTTAAGGCTGATTTACACGGTACAATTTGTCGCGTGCGACTTGTAGTATACGATTTTCCTACTACAAGCCGTAGCATTTTAAGCAGTGGTTCAAAATCCTACTACAAGTCGTAGGTGGCGTACGACTGTTGTAGACAAGTCGTAGGGGCATTTACACTGCGTGATTCGCGCACGACAAATCGTACCGTGTAAATCAGCCTTTAGAAAAGCAATAAACAATACATTTTCATGCATTTCTGGTGAAATAAAGTGGGGGTGTTGGGAGAACACAAAAAATGCATAAAAAATCTAGAGCCAGAAATGAGACATTTTCAGCCTTTTGAGGATTTTCTGTCAGTCCATTTGACCAATCARAGAGCGCCCATTATGATAGCTATAATACAAATTGCTATAATTTAACTGCGACAATCATAATTCCTTACATATATTCACTTCAATTCAGACCATAACTTTATCATGATTCTTGTCATACCTTCTCTAACCATCTCATATGGCATGTTAAAATGTCCCGCTGGTAAACTCCTGACTGAAAGTCCTGAACATTCATCACTCATTCCTCCCTAGTAACAATAACATTCATCACTCATTCCTCCGTAGTATCATACAATTCAATATTTTAGGTCATTCCAGTCCAAGAATTATTGTTCAAATTGCATGATAAAGAATAATAAGGACTTTTCTACGGATTAAAAATTTAAACTTATTGCATAACTTATAAAAATAAGGACTTTTCTACGGATTAAAAATTTAAACTTATTGCATAACTTATAAAAGTTCAAGTATACCATGGATAATAATATCAATCTATGATACATAAGCTTGTAGGTCAAGGACAATGTCACATTCATATATTCAGTGCAGGCTTGCAGACTACATACATGTATTTAGCAGTTTTACCTCAGAATCACTGTCATATCCTGATTGCTTTTGATTCAGTGCACTGACCAACTCAGCCTGCATGTCCAACAAAGAACTACGAAGATCACTGTTTTCCTTTATCAACTCCTAAAACACACAGTAAACTCAATATTATAGAAATCCATTGGAAAAATTAATAAATCTTACAAGCTTCTTATTGGTTTGTATAGTGAAAAACTGACCTGCTGCCTTAGTTTGTACAGMAATACCTTGGACAGTCTTCCACTATACAAACATACAGTATATGTAACATCACAGAGATGATGTATAAATTAAGATATACAATATCAGAAACCTTTTGTCTTGCTTCATAGTTTGTAACAAGTAATCTGTACATCTCCTCTTCGCTCCTAGAACAGAAAAAACAGGAATATTATATGATCATCATTGTCTAGACAACACTTGTTATATTCTGATCAATTCTAACATGCRTGCTGATTGGCAGATTTCATGAGAAAAGCTATCATGGTTTATTTTGCCAGTAAACCAGCCTGCTGTCTTGAAAGACTAAATAGCAGACACCAGCCCAATTTTTTTGAACCAAACAATAGCTTGAAGTAGTTTACTGGCAAAATAAACCATTTGAGATGATTGGGAGAACACTTGAAAAGTTAAATCACTCGCTGAAGGCCTGTGATTAAATACAGTTCTCTTCGAGTTTTCTCCCAACCATTCTGCATGGTTTATTTCGCCAGTAAACCACTTCAAGCTATCGTTTATTGCTAAATAAATATACCTGTTTCCAGTTTTCCATGTGGCTCTTTTGCCATCAGCTCTTTGTATTGAGTTAAGGAGTTCCATTCCTATTTTCTTTTCACGGCTTTTATCAGACAACATCTTTATAAAATAAACAATGTCATCCACTTAACATATCAATATTTTCATTAATATTATATATATTATGCATTTTTTCTTTGAGTTYGCAATTTCAATTTTGATAATGAAATTCATTCTACCAGTTTGGGCAAAATCATAATTAGGATCCTCTTTCAAAATATTTAAACAAAGGCATTACTAGTCAACTGAAATTTACAAGTGGACCTTTTTATTTTTGTTTTTATATCATTTTTTAATGTCATTTATTTTTATATCACTATTTGAGAGCACTTGGATTTTCCTACTTTTGAATGTAAATGTACAGTGAAAATTAAAAAACACTACAAATAAGCTTTTGTTCATTTTCCGTACCTGGTGAACTCTGTCCTTTAATTTTACCATTTCCCTCTCATTCTTTTTATTTTCATGGCTGAATTGATTCTGAAGCTGCTGGAAATTGGACTTTGTTTTCTTCACCTTACAAACATTAACATTTTAAACAAATATTATTGTGAGATAAAAAATTGCATGTTATCAGTTGACTACCTCTAAAATTTAAAGGAATTATGTTTTTTTCACTGACAATACCTCATCTTTTTCACTTTTTAATTGTTCCTTTAACTTGTTAATTTTGATTTGCTGCTGTCGTTCTCTCTCTGTTGCCATGGATACTTCCCTTTCAAGTGTTTCCACTTGAGCCTGAAAATAAAAAGGTGTTCTTCAATATTTGAAGTATTTTGTTTTTCAATCAGCTTCATGCTAATGTTTTGGTTTCATGAATGTTTGTAAACCACAGATTTTGTTTGCTTAATATGGCAATGGGTTTGAAAACTAAGAAAAACTAACAATGAAACTGTAAAAACATAGAAAAACTAACAATGAAACTGTAAAAACATAGAGATAAGAACAAACCCTTTTACTGACTTGTTAGCCTCGTGTYAGCCTTGAAACCATGTAATATATACACCCTTTTAATAAGTCCTGAGTTATTGTGTTCTCCGCACTTGACGTCAAATTTATTCTTTTGAATTCCTTTTGTATTGTAAAAATTTCAAAAGAATAAATTTGACGTCAAGTGCGGAAAACACAATACCTCGGGGCTTTTTAAAAGGGTGTATAGAGTGAGATCTTTTTCTTTACTTAATGGAGAAATATAGTTATTTTATAGATAATCATAACGATAAACTCTTTTATTCAGTAACAGACCATGCAAATRTTCGAGAGATGTTTGATTATARAAGACAATTGAAAATCTCACAARTTTTAGTTGMATATTTTACACACAATTGAGGCTAMCACAGTGCAAAAGAGATCAAGAAACTCAACTATTAAAACTAAAAAAAATTGCCATGTCACTGGTTATTAAAATTACCTTTAGTCTTTTCTGACTTTGTACAAGATATTCATTGTCACATTCTGCTCTAAGATTCCTGACCAAAAAACACTTATCTTATTAGTCATTTATTTAAAGCATTACAATACAAGTACAGCAAAAGCCTGTAATAAAATCATGATTAACTGACTACAACTATAACATATCATACATATTGATAATATTCATAGATAGCAACTGATTTATTTCCATCAATCAATATAATAAGAAACAATCCCTAAGGATTCTATACTGTTGTTATTACAAAAGCTTACCTTTCCTCCAGTGATGTCCTTACTTTTGAGTTTTGCTGTTGTAGTTGTAGTAGTTCATATGTACAGTTTATAAGTCTAACAATATCAAAGGAATCAGACAAATCTTGATTTAATGATGTGTAAAGTGGTTGAAATCCCAGGATCTTTACCTCCTGAAAGAAAAAAAAACATATAAAAAATTCAACTGTTATTTCCTGAAGACCTGTCTTAAAGTGTGTCGCTAAAACCATCATATTAACCATACAATAGTTGATAAATACAACAGGCTACAGTTGTATTGTTTGTTGTCGTTGAATAGAGCATCCTTTTACGTGTAGTTCTATAACAATTACTCAAAGAAAACAGTGGGAGACAGTGTGGTAAAGTTAAGTCTTGGCATTGATCCTGAAATCCATCAGGAGCACCGGATAAAACCATATTTTGTTTTGAAATCTTGCATATAAGGTTAGGATACATGTGGATATTGATGTCTCTACTCAGAAATAAACAGCTCTCAAAATTTCAGGCTCTGAGGCTCTAAACACAAAGGGTTGACGGCTTAATTATAAAACTTAATTATCATGCAATTATGAACAAATTAGAGAGCCAATGTTACATAATTGTACAATAACAAAATTTAATAAATGCAAAGCACAAATTTATGTCTCAAAAACCTTATCAATTCATAATTAAAAATAGATTGTGAAAATCTTTTCGCTTTCGTCGGTTTAAGAAGAAATCAATCAAAGCAAAGTTTTGAATATTGTGACTCTATACTGTGGTCATTCGCATCAATAGGAGATGGAGTTGAGCCATCTATGTATGTAAAATCTATTAACTTAATTAACTCGCTCAAATAAACTTGATATTTCTGTTCGGAATACTTAACATTAAGGAACAAACAGTCTGGCATTCACATTTAATGCAAACATAAGCTTTAATACTTTAGATTAACAAGTTACACATGATAAACATTTCAATTTTGTTATAATCCTTTCTAATAATACAACTCAAACATTTCCTGTCTTMATGAACAACAGTTTCTGATGCCGTCCAATGTAACGAAATCAAATCATCAATAAATAGTTAAACAAAGCGAGAAAAACTGTTAGACACCWAGAAGAATCGCCGCATTACCTGGTTTAGAAAAGCAAGGCATTGGTCAACGTTATCTCTTCTACAGAATTGTCTATCAGGACTGCCAAAGATAGGTGATCCAAAGCGATCTTGCTCCGATGTCTTCTCTGGGCTTGAATGCCGCGATGAATGACTGGTGTAACGGGTTAAAAAGTCTGTTCCCCATTCATCTGACGCAGTTACACTGCCGTTCATGATCAAGAAAGTTTTACCAAGATAAGCACTGTGTCGACCACAGAATATTCGTGCAATTCACAGGTTAAATCCTCCCATATCCCATGTATTTGATGCTTTGAAGTCCMTAAATGTCTTGAATATAAGAGCTCGGGATTGTTTATATCTTCTTTGGCAAGAATTCTTGTGAATAATTTACGTAGTTACGGTCCTGCTGTAACATGGCGACGGTTGGATGGCTTCGAGCATGCTTGCACGATAAACCGCTGAAACTGCAGATAACATTTAAAAATAACTTCAAAACAAACTGCTTTCTTAAAACCGTTTTTCAGTAACAATAGATATTTAAAACTACGACGCCTGAAATACTATTACTTAGGACTGCTTCCAACTTGGCTTCAAAGTCTCCGTTTGTTGATTTTTGTCACTCGAAAAAGCGCGCCAAAATGATAAAACGAGAAGGGCCTGGAGCGAAGATCCACAAACTGTTCTTCGTTTTCACGTCATGGAAAAATAAATTTTCCCTGAACTTATTCTCAAAAAGCTCTGATCGTTTCTGTTGCTTTCTTTTCGCGAGGGAGAACTGGAAACGCAGGAAGACGTTCTATATTCGATTCGTTATTGCATTCTAGGACTTCTAGAACTAGTTGTTGCCTCGAGTGCGCGCTCGCGTTCAAATGTGACTTGATGTCAAAGTGTTCCTAAAAACGTAAATGGGCGATTGATAGGCGTTACAGTCCCTGTCATTGAACGTTTGTCCGTTTTGAATTTTTCGAAAGTATCAAAAAAACTTTCATTCATCACTTTCATTTATTTCATTAAACTTTCATTCGTCACTTCCATTCCCAGTGTAAATAAAAGTTTGTGTGTTTTCTTAGTTACTAATTGTCTTATATAATGAAGACGGACAAGAAAATAACTTTTCAAAATTACGAAAAAAGAAATAGTTAAAAAAAAAGAATACGAAAGAAAAAAAGAAAACACAGGAAGCCCAAGTGTTTGATAATATTTAACTGATCTGAGTTACTGGTCAACTTGAAACCTGAAATCAACGTCTCGCGAGTGCTCCATGCATTCAGCATGGCAAGATTTGGTATGGTGTTAGTCTTAATCGTTTGCTTTCTTTGTTTCCATTGTGGCCTTGCCGTAAGATTTAACTTCACAAGAACTATCTTTGTTTCTCCAACGGGAAATGACACCGTTCCAGACTGTGGCATGTCACTCGCTTCGCCATGCAAAACACTTGACTTCGCTTTACAGAAAGTGCAACCTACCCCTAGCTCAACACGGATCTTCCTTAAACCCGGAAATTACAGTTTGAACAAGAGTTATGACTTCACAAAAATAGAAAATTTTGCGATTTACGGCGAGGGCAATTCACGGGAGGTACTGATCTCATGTACCAAGCACATTATAAACGCGTCTTTGTCATTTACTTTGGCAAAAGGTTTGTTATTCAAAGGGTTTACTTTGAATGGATGTGGCGGCTGGCGAATTAGTTCAGTTGGACGTAAAGACTGGTATCCTGCAAATCCTAAGTTTATAACAGCGTTATACATCAATTATTGCTTGGATCTGACAATAAGTCAAGTCAATATTTCCAATACGCCTGGTGTTGCTGTTAATATTTATTCAGTAGCTGGAACTGTGACAATACGCGACTCTATCTTCAACAACAATGTCCCACTTGGCTCCAACGAAACAAATATCAACACCAACAGCAGAGATGTTTTAATGGTTGGCAATTCTGGAGAATACGCTAAATCAGGTGGAGGGATCTTTCTACTCTTAGGTGCTATAAATAATAACCCACTGAAACCATCTCCTGAACATACCAAAGAGTACTTCAAACCCAGCAATATCATCACTATAACAAACTGCTCTTTCACACGTAACAGAGCTCCGACTCCTGAGTTTCCAGTGACTGCAATTCCATCGCTTCCATTCAGCCGTGGAGGTGGCTTAGCAATCTTTATTACTGGGAATTCCTCTAGTAATAGTCTTGTGATGAATTCATGTGAATTTATTCAAAATGAGGCTGTTTGGGGRGGTGGTTTACAAGTAGAATTGAGTAATAGAGCACAAAATAACACTATTACTTTCATTAATACAAAGTTTAAGTATAACCATGCAAGGGCGGAGGGTGGAGGGCTCAGGTGGTCATCAAGTTTGGAAGAAGACTTAACCTTGTTACCTAATTTCCTAAACCTAATTTCATGTCAGATTTATGGAAATAGGGCAATATGGGGTGGAGGACTAACAACCTATGGAACAACCTTTTTGACATTACCAAATGAAGACATTGAATATCAACGCAGTTTGATCACTTTTCGGTCTTGTAAGATTAATGAAAACAAAGGAACAGTAGGAGCTGCAATTGGTTCTTTCCTGGTTAACCGCAATGAGGATGACATTGGACCAGGACTTCCTTACCACATGATATTTGAGAACTGTACTGTCTTTAATAATCATGTTATTGTCAGGGAACCAAGTTATGTAGTTGGCCAAGGTTCTATATACTCTGATGAAGTTCCTCTCATCTTCAAAAACAATAACAGCATTTTCAATAATGACAACACTGCTCTTGTTCTAGACTCAGCTACAATGGTGGTTTACAACAATGTGAATTTCTCCCACAACAGAGGGTTTCGAGGGGGAGCTCTTGCTCTGTATGGAGACTCCAAGATATTATTAATGAAACACTCCTCACTTTATTTCTTTGAAAATCACTGTGATGAGAAGGGTGGGGCAATGTATGTCAGCGCCCCTGGCCCACCCCTGGTAAGTTTCAGTTCAAATGGGATAAAGATCCACAAATGCTTTTTCACTTATGAAGAACCAGGTGTAGATTTCAATGACTGGGAAACAGAGGTCATCTTCCAAGGTAACAGTGTTGGTGACAGCAGCTTTGCAGGTAACTCATCAGGAAGATCTGTGTTTGCTTCAACATTGCGTGATTGTGGTCTTGTTGGTGAAACCAGGGAAAACAACACTGCTTTAGAATGGAAGTTTATTAAATACAAAGGAAAAGATGGCAACCCTGTGGGAATCAAGGGAGAAGTTGTCACTGAACCAATAGACATCATCTTCAATGAATCTGAGTGGAAAGTTTCTCCAAGTCAAGTTTTTAGTGCTTCAATGTCTTTGATTGATGAGAAACAGAACAATGTGTATGGAATTATTCAAGTCTCTGTGTCAGGCAATCACTCTAAAGCCAGGCTTGGAGGAGGTTCTCCATTGTTTCTTGTATATGATAAAGTTGCCAATCTCTCTGTATTGGGTGTGCCAAATGATTACTTCTATGTTGATCTCAGAACAACCAGCAAGCACTTAGTTCACAAAACGATCAAAAACCTTCAGCTTCAGCCCTGCAACAGAGGTTATTATTTTGATAACAACAGATGCAAATGTAATTCAGACGAAGAAAAAGGCATATACAACTGCAGTGATGATGGACAGACGATTTTCATACGTCAAGGATACTGGGCTGGTATGGTTGATGATGATTTCTATACTCACACATGTCCAGAGAGTTACTGTGCTTTTAACAGCTTAAACAACCAAAGTCTTGCTTACAAGTACTTCAGCAACAACATGTGTATATCAAGCAGAGAAAGTGAGAGTATTTTGTGCGGATCCTGTAAGAAGAACTACACTGTGCTGATTGGTAGTGAAGAATGCTCATCTGAATGCAATAATTATTACTTACTCACCATGATACCTTATGCCATTATCTTCTTCATTGCCGTCATGTTAATCATGTTGATTAATTTAGATGTGTTTACAACATATCTCAACGCTTGGCTCTACTCTTACCAAGTGATGAGTCTCTTGTTTATTGAGGGGTTCAATGTGGATGAATTCATGCAGTTTATAATTGGTCTTGCTAATCTACGAATCAAAACAGGGGGGTCATGCCTTCTAACAGATATCACCGATGCTGACAAACTGATGCTCATGTACCTCCTGCCGACGTATATTCTTGCATCTGTTTTTGTCCTGGCCAAGATTGTAAGAAGATGGCCAAATTGGTGCTACAGCCGCCGTGTCAAGGCTCCATTCCGTGCTCTTTGTACATTGTTTGTATTGTGTTACACCAACATCACATCAATTTCACTCAAGATCCTCTACCCTGCTTACATAGGACATAGGACAGTACTGTTCATGGATGGAGAGATGGATTTCTTCAAAGGAAGGCATATTGCATATGCAATAATTGCTATTATTTATCTTCTACTCGTGGTTATTCCATGCCCTTTGATACTGATGTTTACACCTTATTTTACCAAGCTGTTGATGCCAATAGTCAATGTCAACACTCTAAAGCCATACTACGATGCCTTTCAAGGCTGCTTTAAAGATGAATACCGCTGGTGCTCTGCATTTTACTTTGTATGCCGACTGTATCTCCTGCTTGTATCAACCTACATGCCATTAGGGCCTTGGAAAAGAGTATTGCTTGAAAATTCCTGTATGATCATCCTGGCTCTATTTGTGTACCTAAAGCCTTACAAGAAGGAGTATAACTGGTTAAACCTGTTAGATGCTGTGTTGCTTTGCAACCTTGGATGTATGGCAATATTTGGAACAGCAGTACAAAATTCTCAAAGCTTTCCAGAGTATCGTAACCAGTTTGTTGGATTTATCAAAGTTATGTCCTATGTGCCATTATGTTACCTGATCTGCCTCCTTATCTACCTGGCCATCCAGTATCGTGAGTATATCAGGCAGTACATGGCTCGAAAATTGAGGRCTGACAGTAGCACAGTTCTGGAAAACTACAGTGAGACAGATCCTGAAACAACTGTTAACTTGGGACAGAATGAGGAGCAGCCATCAGCACAGCAACTGTAAGTAAAGCAGCTGATAGATTTCTGGTAAAACTAGTGGTAAACTAGTGTGAGCTCTGTTGGCATTTCTAAAGAAACAGTTGTGTAAAAAGACAAATTTAACACCATAAAAAAATAGGTGAAACAATTAAAATTAAAATCTTTTGTTGGTAAACCAGAATATCAATCCATTAATTCCTTGATGCTCCCATCCATTCACACCTGAATTTCATCTATTCATTAATCTGTGATATAATATGTGGTCTATACTCCTCCATGTCATTGTATTAAAGCTCATCTAGTTTATTAATGGCACACGGTCCATAGTTTCTTGCTTTGCACATTCATCCATTTATTGTCTTTAAATTCATTGAATAATGTTGTAGTAACTCAGTTTTACTTTGTTCCTAGACAGGAAGTCACCTGAAGACTGTTGAATCGACACTGAATGTACTGAAAGTGATGCAGCGGCGACATGAATACACACTTCAAGATGGTGCAAAAAAGATTTTGATTTTACTATTGATTGACAGTCTGTTTTGGTCACCAAAATGTATTTTCAATTTTAGTTTAACTTGAATTATTAATACATTAATATATGTACTTGTAGACTGCACTACCTGCAGGTAAGTAGGCAACCCTGTAGGTAACCCTGACATGGATGCTTGCAAAAGAGAGTTCAAAATTTCAAAGATAATAAAATATTACATATAGTTTAGATGTTATTATGTAGTAGAAAGGTGAAAGGAATTTAATTTGCCATCACTGGAAGAGCGCAGAATATCATTGTGCCAAAAATACATCAAGAATGTTAATGATCCTGTACACAGGACAATAAAAATCAGCTGTTCCTATAAGTTGAGGACAACCTCCAATTATTAGAAAAATATTACAAGAACTAAGAGACTTAAAGATTTTGTTTCTGCAAAATATCTGTAATATATTAGTAATAGTGTTCTATGCCTTCATAATTGTAATATCAGTATTGCGCTCTTCCACGGTAATTCAGTGCTTTTCTCCCTTTACACTGCGATAGGAATGAAAAAAACATATTATTATTGTTATAAATAATATTATTGTATAGTATCATTTAGATGTCAAGATATTTAGTGCATTTTATATTTACATGTAGTAGTATATTTTGGTAATTTTTTAGTTTATTAAAGATATTATGCAAACAAAATGGTCTTGTGTGCAATTTCATTCCCATCTTTCTGCTTTAGTCTGTTCATAAAAGCAACTTTAGTCTCCAAATAACATTGAGAACTTTTTTCATGATATTCCTTTTTCTTCTAACCCCAAAGAATTTATTTATGCCTGTAAAATTGACAAAATTTTATACTATGCACAGATAAAGAGATCGAAAAATATTCGCAAATGTTGATTTTCCCTCGATTCTCTTGCTGCAAAGTTTGCACTGTCATTTTGTTGGGAACGCGCGAGCGACGTAAGGAGACGATCAGGAATCCTTGCGTTACTGTATGCAGCAAACGTGACATTTTTGTAACGCAACGTAGCAGTGACACGAAGCTGGCGATCGAACAGGTATGCATTGTAAATGCTGAGTCATTATCAGTCTATATTGTGTATTAATAACACACTTTATCTTGTTTTAGGAGACAAAGAAGCAAGATAAAGTAATAGGTTAGCGGAAAAATGACTGATGTACCTGTTGTAGTCTCAACGGAGTGGCTTCACCAGAGAATTTACACCGACCAGCACAGCAAAGAGAAACTACGAATTCTTGATGTAACTTGGTACTCTGATAGGGATGCCATGCAAGATTTCTCAAAGTAAGCAACTTGTATTTCAACAGATGTTATACTTATAATTTGTTGATGAATTTTGAGGGAAAGATCGAACTTACTAAACTACTAAAAATTCTCCCTGTCGCGGGCTTCCTGTGTAGTGAGATATTCAAGTTTAAAATATGCATACAAGCTATGGTAATCATTGGTTTTATTGACGTATTCAAGGGTTGATCCAGGTACCCCCCCCCCCCTTTTCCGCCTCCTATTACATCCAAGTCCAAATGTTTTTCAGTAATAAGTAAATTCTGAAATAATGATAAAAGTTTTTCATCTGTAGAAGAAAGGTTTAATTTTGATATTGATTTCAATACCAATCAATGCCGTACGCCTAACAGCTCATAAACGTTTTTCGGTTTCCTGTTTGCCATTTTGCCGCGATTGCACACAATATGTGCTGGTTGTAATTATACAAAAGATGTCCAATTGTAATTTGAAAATCACATCGTTTTCAAGAAAGCAACAGAAGAAAAAAAGTATAGTAAGTTTTTTAAAAAAATGCTAAAAGAAGCTTTAATTAAAAATAATTAATTAAAAAATTAAAAAACTTATTTTAATAAAAAAAGCTTTAATTGCACACTATTTTCGTATAGTTTAAAATACTGCAATTGAAACAATGGAGAGAATGAGGTCAAACATTGCCAAAAAGTTGTCACGAATGGTTTGATTGGTTTTTGATTATGCGTCAAGACTGGCATCAAAAGGTCGGTGCCGAAGTCAAAATTCCAAGGATAACAAAAAGGCAACTGCATCGCAGCAATGCTCAAAGCAATAACCCTAAATCGCATTATCGAATCGCCGTTGCTATACGCTTTCTTGATCACTTGTGAAGCCCCGTTTACACCTGCGATTTTTGCAGAGCGATTCTCGCGGCGCGCGCGACCATCGCCTGTGTTTCAAACATGCTTGAAAATTGGCGATTTTCCATCGCTGCAACAATCGCAGGGCTGTTTAAGCCGCGACTACACGAGCGATTTTTCGCTTGCGCAGGCGACGCGATTTTCGGGTACGATGGAAGCTGAACATCTAATTTGAGCTGTTTTTGTACATGTACCTCTTTATGGAATAAGTATTTGTGATGGTTTTTTTATCCATACAGCATTGTCACTCGTGTAGCCAAATTGTACGCTGGTGATTTTGAGAAAATCGCGCCGCCTGCGCAAGGGATAAATCGCTCGTGTAGCCGCGGATTTACAATTCTTAAAGTTGGATGTAGACAAGTCGTAGGGGCATTTACACTGCACGATTCAAGTCGTATACTACAAATCGCACGAGACAATCGTGCCGTGTAAATCAGCCTTTAGAAGAATCAAATCAGTACTTAAGGAACAGGATGAGTGACGAACGATTTTTTCAGTGCTTGCTTTAATGCATTTACACCACGATATAGAATTTTCCCCTGGACCGCCCCCCCCCCCCCCCCCCCCCCCCCCCCCCCCMCCCCTTTCAGAAAAACCTGGATCCGCCCTTGGTATTTAAGCCAAAAATTGAATTTAATCTTGATCTTTTGTTACACTGTTCAGAATATCATATTTCTAAACTGTGACCTAAACAATAGCTAATATTTAAAGAAAGCTCAGACATGTTGGCATTGTAGATTAACTTTTTTCGATTCACTGGTGTAAGAGATACCAAAATCTTTTTGAATGGGTGTGACCCTCCATTTTCACAAACATCTCTCCACACCTTTTGAGCTCGGTTCCACACTTTTTGAGCCGGGGAAAGGGGGGRATTTCCGTCGGAAATTCTGAAAATGATGTATAAATATGATGGGCGTGGCAGCGCTGACATTTCACCCCTAAGAGGGACCAATCTATAACAGGTCATTTTGTTTTGGTTTCCCGATTATATTTGTGTTTTTGCACAAGCATCAAACACCGTCTGTTCGTATGGAGATCAATCATCTATACAATTAGAAGTTGTGGCTGTTGTTGATCTTATAATGACGGCTTAGGGTCGTCGTATACCCTAAAAGGGACCACAAAACTCAGTTGGTGGGAATTCTTGTCTTTACCACCCTAAGCGGGACCAAAACACTGATTTCAAACCCTAAAAGGGAAGACCAGGAGCCCCACCCTTTTTTTATTAGGGAATTCCCCTCACCCCCGGGTTTTTGAAATCTATTTGAAGACTTCTTTTAGAGCTCTTGTTAGAAGGTCCTGTGAATTCTCTTTACCAAATTATTGTTGTTTTTACAGGCGACACATACTTGGTGCTGTGTACTTTAATGCATTTCAAGGAGTGGAGCTCTCCCCAGTCCATCCCAGGAAACTTGCTGATGCTGAAACATTTCAGATGAACGCCAGGGGGTCTGGGGTTGACAGTGATAGTCATGTGATACTATATGATGGTTGCGAAGGTAGAAATGGATTCTTTCTTGGTGGACGTGTTTGGATCATGTTTAAGGTAATAATTATTATACCTAATCGCCATTTGAAATTCAATGTTTTTGGGATTCCTGTGTCCATTAATGTTCTCCTTCTCATAAATTAGCCAATCAAATCACAGATAGTGTACTAATTTGTGTTTCATCCACTCAGCTTACCCCATGACGTAGAATCCAGAGCATTCCTGTATTCTAGATTTAAATCTTTCAATCTTCTCCAAATTGAGGCTAATCCTGTATTCCCTGCCTGTAGTTTAAGCCTTCTGGGAACACAGGCTTGGCCCCAAATCAGAGAGAATGCGATTTTCTGGAGCTATTGTAATGACGAAATGTTTGCRTGCTTTCTTTTGTTTTTGGAAACGTTTCTGTACTTGAGAGACTGTTGTCAACTATAACAGCGCTTGCTCAATTTGAACCGGGCAAAATGTCTGTGGCTCATATCTGTGAAATGGTTTAGGCGAATTATTACCCTTTGTTTTCAGTTAATTGGTGCAACTCTTTATCATATTCACTCAGTTAGTAGAGGGAGACTGAATGATTCACTTAACCTATTCATCTTATTTTAACAAGTTATATGGACACGATAAAGTGTCTGTTCTTGATGGTGGACTTGAGAAGTGGATCGCTGATGGTTATGAAGTTACAGACATGTGTATGAAGATACGGGTACGATTAACTCCTTACTCAAATTCTGAGTTWTGATATGACAAATAAACGTTTGTGTGGTCGTTTTATAGTTGTATTCACGTTGAATTTTTTTAATCTAAGGCAGGTAATTTTGAAGCGAAGTCTTGTTCCAAGGAGTGGCTGAATTCCTTTGATGATATGCTGGAGAAATTGTCAGAAAAAGATGCACAACCAGTTTGCGATTCTCGCCCAGCGTCTCTATACAACGGAAACGCTGACGGTAAAATAATGGCAGAACTATCAGCTTACAAAATTTAAAATCAGTTAGTCTACCATTATATAAACACATTGTGTGCTTCACACATACAACTCACTGCAGCAACTAAGTTGTAAACAAGTTGTGAACATCATACATATACAACACGAATTGCTTCGTGTCAATCAAGCCTACAACTCACTACAACTACGTAAGTCAAGTTGGAACAAGTTGTGCGCGTAATACATACAACACGAATTGTGTCGTGCAAATCAAGCCTATAATTCACTACAACTACCTAAGTCAAGTTGTAAACAAGTTGTGCGCGTCATACATACAACACGAATTGCTTCATGTCAATCAAGCGTGCAACTCACTACAACTACCTAAGTCAAGTTGTAAACAAGTTGTGCATGTCATACATGCATACATGCATACAACACGAATTGCGTCATGCAAATCAAGCCTGCAGCTCACTACAAGTAGGCTATATAGTCAAGTTATATTGCATGTACGTATTGCATTGTTATTTGCTGTCGTTCTAGATCCTAAAAGTGGCCATTACCCTGGTGCTGTGAACATTARCTCCAAAATGATCATATGCCCGGAGAAACGGTGTCTGAAAACCATCGAAGAACTCAAGCAAGGTTAGGCGTTTGTCATCAATTTTGTATTTCTTAAACTTTGTCAGGAATCTTTTATGTCATAGTTTGTTCATTTTCAGATTCATTTAAGTTTTATTTTGCCGTTGTAYTTAGTTTTCAAAGATGCAGGATTGGATTTGAATAAACCCACCACATTCATGTGTAACTCTGGGATGTCTTCATGTTCCATGGCAATGGCGGCGTACATGTGTGGATGTCCCGATATCTCTATCTACATGGTGAGTATCTCGAATTGTTGATATGTATTATAGAATTTTACCTTTTCCAAGCGGACCTCCATGCACATGCACGCACGAACAGGAAGAACCGCGAAAAGGCGACATTTAGAAACATGCAAGGTGAATGAAGTATGGCGCGCGGTTAAAAATGCCTCTTGTATTTTCTTTATGAAATGAAATAAGTGAATCTGTAAATTTTCGTTAAGATATTAGATATCTCATGTAAAAACGGGTGAACATGACTATATTTTTTTCAATTTACGACAATTTTTAGGAAGGCTTTACCGAGTGGCGCCAAAAGGCAGAGCAAAACCACATCGAAAAGAGCTAAGCCAGTGCTACAATCGTGCTGCAATTGTTCGTTAAGTATCACTATTGGTCCAATTCATTAACAGTATCAACGAAATCTTGAAAACAAAAACAACAATTAATCAAAGTTCAAAAATGTATATAATTTATATGATAAACAGAATATTACATGGTCGCTTTGACATACGGATTTTATCTTCTCGTGTTGAAGGCTCTCAACAGACAAAATCCGTATCTCCGTGCACCCATGTAATAACCTATATATTACGTAGAATATTTCACAATCAAAAGCAGGTTGTATTTATACCAAAACACTTCTAGTTTGACATTGACAGTTCTGCACTCAATTTTTTTGTGTGAGTATGCATTCTCTCCTTCGTTTAATTTTCTCGTGGGTCAAGTGTCACAAGTTATGATGACCTTTATAAAATAACTTTCATATTACGCGCGCTCTGATTCGCCAAAAAGCCGTGTTTGATGAGAGCATAATACACGCTCGCGTCATTTTTTTTCTCGGCTTTTCTTTTTCTCATGAATATTTGAGCGCTTTTTATTKTATAAAAGCAATAAAAAACAGTTCTCCGTGTATTATACTCTGATAAAAACACTTGGGATGTGGAGAGAACACTCGAGAAGCTGGATTCGCGTCGTGGTTTCCTACGCTTATCTCGTGTTCTCCCTACATCCCGCGTGTTTTTATCAGAGTATAATACACGGAAAACTGTTTTTTATTCCTTAAATTAATAATGTCTTGAAAAAAATCAACTGTTTTAAAATACTTAAAATAGAGTGAACACAATTAATCCGTACAAGTGTACAAAATCCAAGTAGTATTTATTTGTACTAAATGTGGACCTGAAGCAAGACGGTATTGAATGCTTCATTTGAATCAATTCAAATTTATTTGTGTACCGCATGCACGATTTACTAAATACAACTAAATAGAACTATTTAGTTTGTACAGTTGCACGGATTAGACTAAGTGCGATCACTCTACTTAAAAATACTTAAAAATTTGTGTAATTTTTTTTAGACTTCTTCACTTGTACTATATATAATCAATGCCATTTACCTTCTATTCAATTAAAATAAATCCAATCACACAATGGGCAGCATAAAGTTTCTTTAATTTATTGGTCCAGATTTACATTRTAATTTAGTTTATCAAGTCATAGGTCGTAGTCATTAGGATGATATAACTCACTCAATAATCGATACACATATGATGGGGAATTACCTCCTCTGCAATTAAAATAAACAAAATGTAAGCAGCAAAGTCAGGTTTACACGAGCAACGTAAACGTAAATACACAAGTTCACACGTTTAAAATGAAAACGCTGACGGAAAGGAAAAAAGGAAAGGAAAAAGAGTTTAACAGATTTGCATTTCCTTGCCATTTTTAAAAGCTTAAAAGCTTATATAACAGCTTTGATTTCTGTTTTGAGCATTACTTTTTTTGGTCTCAGGTCTTAGCAATAGCAATAGGTGCAGCGACCGCCATTTAATTTGTTTACAACAATATTGGCCTTGMTCTTTATAACGTTAATTAAAATAATATCCCCTGAGTCCGTTTTTGTATGTCCGATAAAGACAAAATAACTGACTTCTCTGCAGAAAAAAAAATAGATTTTGTGGAGTTTTTTAACGGACAAAAAAATCACGGGGACTGCATTTCCCATCATGTCTTGCTCTGGACAACTACATYACGCATATGCCTCCTGCAAACATTTTTTCAGTGGAAACCAGAACCWATGCAGGCTACCAGGATCAAAATTGCTGTTGTTGGGAATCAAGAAATAGCTTTGCAGGCCTGGGATTTAGGTCACTTAAGAAAACAACATAACTACCCTGACTGAAAGTACCGTATGATAGCTATGATAGAGCACAATGACCCGACTTCCCAACATACCATATTCTCTCTTAATTTCGTGTGCGCAGAGTTTCTCGATTTAGAAAAAAATGCAATGATGTGTTTGAGCTTTCAACTTACATATTTGAGAGAAATAATGTCACAAGATCTGGTAAAATGTAATCAAACACTGGATTCTGTACATCTACTTTGGACAAGATATGGCCTGAAAAGAAAAACATGTTATCTATAAATTCGTTAACATATAGGCTCTTTGATCACCAGGCGCTGTTTGTACGCAGGTTGGATATAGTTGYCCACCAGATAWATCCTTATTCASCAGATAAAAYCCATACAAAACCTATGGAATGGATAACTTTCACTGTTGTATAACTTTATCTACCTTTCGTACAACCAGTCCCTATATAAGCAGCAATAGCAGGCTATACCCTCACCTTCAGAAAACTGTAAGACATCATGAGGAGCAGCAAACTTATTACAGCTATCCTGTAAATACATTGACATTCAAGATTAAAAAGAGTTTGAATATATTAATGAAGAAATGAATCTACGTTTAGTTACCTCATCATATGATACAACATACTGTGGAGTCAGTTTATACATTGCAGCACATGCTACAAGCTTCAAGAAATCAATAAAATATTAGATCAAAATGTACAGACTGTTGTCATATAAACAAACATAGAGCATTTTGTAGTCRATTTGTCATTTTGACATTTAGGTGTGTAGTTGTGTAAAACAGACMGTRATGGGTATTGTGAAGTCCAAMATTTCTATGTAAAAATACACGGATGAAAAAATGTGGTGCTGCTTAAGCAAACTGGTTCTTTGTTATTTTCTATTTTGTTTAGATGTAAAATACATAATAATATATCTGGGTTGTATGCTACCCTGGCAGTGACTTACTGGAACAGAATAGTGCTTAGCAGCAAGGGCCAAGGCATGAGTCCCATTGACAGCTCTAAGTCTGAAAGGCAATGCTAAAGTCAATTAAAAACAAAATGCAAAGGTTTTTGTCTAAGTGATCTTGAAAGAATGGAGATCGACCAATCAGAATGTAGTCAGAATGAACTTACCCACCGTCAGCCATGACAGCATGCGTACCTATGATGACCTGTCAAACAACGCAATGTCAATAGTAATAATAACCTAATAACCAGAATTGAACAGCAGAGACAACTATTACTATTCTCGACATGTAATAACGAATCCTGACTGCAACTGTTTATTATGAAAGGTGG